CTTCTGCTACACCATGGGCCCCCCCACCGCTACAGCCATCGAAAGCCTCTGCTGTTACTCCCCCTGTTGACCTGGACGTGCCTTTTGACCCAGGCCTATTGGCCTTGAAAAGGAGGTGGATATGCTTTTCTTCGATCCGAGAAGAACAGGATACATAAGGCCTGAAGGCCGAGTTGCTTGACAACTTAGTGGCGTCCCCCAGGGCTCGGTGCTGGGGCCGGTCCTCTTTAACATCTTCATCAATGATCTGGATGACGGCATTGAGTGCACCCTCAGTAAGTTTGCAGATGACACCAAGCTAGGTGCGTGTGTCGATCTGCTCGAGGGTAGGAAGGCTCTGCAGGAGGATCTGGATAGGCTGCACCGATGGGCTGAGGTCAACTGTATGAAGTTCAACAAGGCCAAGTGCCGGGTCCTGCACCTGGGGCGCAATAACCCCAAGCAGAACTACAGGCTGGGAGAGGAATGGTTGGAGAGCTGCCAGGCAGAGAAGGACCTGGGAGTGATGGTGGACAGTCGGCTGAATATGAGCCAGCAGTGTGCTCAGGTGGCCAAGAAGGCCAACGGCATCCTGGCTTGTATCAGAAACAGTGTGACCGGCAGGGCTAGGGAGGTGATCGTCCCCCTGTACTCGGCTCTGGTGAGGCCGCACCTCGAATACTGTGTTCAGTTTTGGGCCCCTCGCTACAAGAAGGACATCGAGGTGCTTGAGCGGGTCCAAAGAAGGGCGACGAAGCTGGTGAGGGGCCTGGAGAGCAAGTCCTATGAGGAGCGGCTGAAAGAGCTGGGCTTGTTCAGCCTAGAGAAGAGGAGGCTCAGGGGTGACCTTATTGCTCTGTATAACTACATTAAAGGAGGCTGTAGCGAGGTGGGGGTTGGCCTGTTCTCCCATGTGCCTGGTGACAGGACGAGGGGGAATGGGCTAAAGTTATGCCAGGGGAGTTTTAGGTTAGATGTTAGGAAGAACTTCTTTACTGAAACGGTTGTGAGGCACTGGAACGGGCTGCCCAGGGAGGTGGTGGAGTCACCATCCCTGGAAGTCTTCAAAAGACGTTTAGATGTAGAGCTTAGGGATATGGTTTAGTGGGGACTGTTAGTGTTAGGTTAGAGGTTGGACTCGATGATCTTGAGGTCTCTTCCAACCTAGAAATTCTGTGATTCTGTGATTCTGTGATTAAAGCAAGACATATTGTTCAAAAGGAATGGAAAATGGAGACTTGTTTGTAGTCAAGAAAAGGAGTGGAAAATGGAGACTGTTAAGTCATGGAACTTAAAGGATTGTTTGTTACCTTTACCTGATTGTACGTATGTAGAGGCATACTTGGGTTATTATGTAAAGCAATGTTCTGTATATTTAGAATGTTTGATGTTCGTGTGTGCGTGTCGGTGGAGCGTAGACTCCCTGCACACCGAGTGCTGTTTACTTGCTTTTTATACCTTTTATAAATATTTCTTTTATAAATATTACTAAATTCAGATTGAGTTGAGACTTCATTTATAACAATGTGGAAGAGGAGGAAGCCTTAAATTATGATTTCCTTTGCTGGGTCCTGTTATGAACCCTCCACACAGCTGTAATTCACATGTGCCAGACCAGTGGGCTCAGTGTCCTCTTCATAACTGTGCATGAGGCTACAGAACATGAGACATCTTCTCATGTTTTACCTGGTGCCCCAAATCACAAGTCTAGGCTAACAGGCACACATGGGATAGTACAAATCAGACTGCTCAGTGAGACAGTTGATACTGCTCTGGGGCAAGGACCAATATCATCTCACGATGCCTTGAAAATTAGCTGTAGCATAGCTACCGGGGTTTTGGTATCATGGACAGTTATCACAGAGCATAGTACACAGTGCAGCTATGCAGATGAGGTAATCATCAAAATATAAATGAGCTCTTCCAAGAGATTCATTTCTGTAGAGCCTTGTACTAAGACTGAAATCACTGATGAGAAGCCAGGAGCATAATAAAGCAGCTGCACAACAGCACAGGAACAGACACGTTGAGTCCATCTAGGAATTGCAGGCATCTTTTATAAAATGCTCACAGTATCAGAAGCAGGGAAGTTTGATCACAAGCACATAAATCAATGACTGCAGTAGCTTTGTAATGGATGGTTTTGTGTTGAAGGATGTGGGGGGGTGGAATTGCAATGAAGAGCTGCAGACTGTTCTGTATACAAGAATAATGCCATCCTTAGATCCTCTGTGTTTTGTAATCACCCTGAAGTTTCTTTCAGCAAAAGGATTTTAAAATATTTGTTCATGTTGATTTGACATACATCTGCCTTATTTCTTTACCAAAAAAAAAAAAAAAAAAAAAAAAAAAAAAAAAAAAAAAAGCATATAATTCCCTGTCTTAGAGCAGAGACTCCAAAACATGCTGAGAGTAGGAGAGTAGGTGAAATTTCCTTCCCCCACAGCAGGATTTTTGAATGGCATCCACTGGAGCAGACAACATTGGTTCCACTGAAAACAGCCACAAAACCAGACTTTGTGTACTGGCAGAATAAAGCAAGGCTCCTCTCACCAGCTGCCAACACCCGGATCCAGCATCACCACCCGATCGTGCTGACTGCAGAGGCTTGTACGCGCCCTCCCTTCCACCTTGGCGCTCGGTGGAGCAGGAGCCTTGAGCCTTCGGGCTAGGGCAGGGTCCCAGGCACCCCGCACCTGTGTGGCTCACATAGCTTGTTTATTCAGGCACCCATCAGCAGAGGTGTGAATGTCAAAACATTCATCACAACAGAGATGCTGACATTATTCCTTGCTTTTTTTTTTTAATGAGCTACTAGTGAAGCACTGAAAGCGATAGGGCTGCCCTTATAATAGCAGGGAAATACACAGCGTTAAAGAGGATCAGTGTCATGTTAGACATTTGAAGAACCATCCAGTTTTTCAAAACATCAACACAGTGCAGCAGAGAGAACGGGCTCTGACACCTGCATATGAAAACTTATCTTTGCACACAAAAGAAGGACCGCCCTGGGAACTGACTCTCAATTCAGCCAACTGTGAGCCACTGCACTATATAATCACAGAGTGAATCAGATCAAATCGTAAAAGCTAATATCCAGTTAAAGCTTGCTTAGTCCTGCTTTCAACAGTGATTTGTGTGAAGTTGACATTATTTCTTTTAAAGGGACTTTTGAAAATGTGAGAAATGTTGCTGAAATCACCCAGGTTATTCCAAATATACCACCTGACTTATTTTACTTGCACATTCATTGACCTGAATGGATCCTCAATTATTTTTCAATTTAGGTAAACATAACCACTCACCACGTTTTTTAAAAAGAGGCAGAGGGTTACACAGCATAGCTGAAGTGTCAAATATCTCTGTCATTTGCTCTGAATTTGGCATATAATACATTCAGGAAACCTCACTCAAAGTCAGTTTTCAGAGACAGGATAAATTCTTATCATAGAGAAAATTAATGAAAAGCTATACAGAAAATAGCAGCATCTCAAAACATAATGGGCAAATATTTATATCATAATAAGTATACAGTATATGTGCTATACCATTGCTATAAACCTAAACATATTGAAAATAATAAGCAGGCATAAATAATGATGCTCAGTTTCCAAAATCTCAAATAATAAATAAAAATAATTAAAAAAACAGGAAATTAAGCAGATAAATCCAGAATCACTGGATACAATTTCTAAGTTGTTTCATTTGGTTCCTTATGCTTTTTATACCGAATGTAACACACCTCTCACCATCACACTGTGAAGGCATTTATTCCTTCCCCCTCCTCCTTGCACTTAAACATTATATCTGGAGCCAGAAATTCTTTACATACACAATTATATTAAATATGTAATACGCACTTACATAAATTTATATTTAATATGATACACTCTCTATGGTGCATTTTATAGCTGTTTATCTGTTAAGGTAGTTATTGGCATAGCTATATATCGAGATGAGGAAAACAGCCCTGGTCCCCGTTAATCACGTGGGCTAGTGGAAACAGCACATTAGTGTTGTAACAGCATTGGTGACATTCAAAACTGACTGAACCATCACTGATCACTTAATCTTAATAAAAATTTTAAGAAAGCAAGATGTTTATTGTTCTTATGACATGCTTACGGGCTGATCCAAGTCTTTTTCATCACGATCAACAAAAAAGTTTCTATGAACTAACAGATATTGGACAGGATTTTCAGGGGACAGTCTTACAGTCTCCAGTGCATGTCAAGGAATACTGAAGATATTTTGGTGCAATTCCATGGTCATTTAAACCAACCTGTGTGAGAGCGATCCATGACTCTGCCTTCAGCCAGGCTTTCCCATCTTCTGTCTTACTCCAGCACCAGTGCTTCTGTAATGAGTCCACTCAGAAGATGATTTGGTTGCAATATATACTTTATTGGTTTTGTTTGTTTGTTTTTATAAAATTTGTTTTTGCAGTCACCCCAAACTATGTAGCCTTAAATTGGCATGGAACCACAGCCTCATTCTTCAGAAAACATTCTAAATCTAGCTGAAAAGAGGCATTAGAAATCAGTGTGCTGAAATTACCACAATACATATTTTACATATATATATATATATATATATTGAATGGGAATCACCATATTAAGGATGATTTTTTCTGTTCTTGTGGAACTGCATCAACTACTGTCATTATCTAGGTGTTAATGGCATAGTGCTCAAGCTCAAATACAGATTACCTAAATTTCTGCAGATGTCAGTGTTAAAAAAGGAGAAAATAGGCAAAAGGAAAGGAGTTGTGTGTAGCAGCAAGGATGCAAATAGCTGGTATATTTCAAATACATGTTTCAGCTAAACTTTGTAAGCCACAAAACATGTTGTAACAGCAGCTTGAATTAGGCAGCAGTCTCTGTAGGAAGCATTTGACTTATTCTGTGGTATGTCTCTGCCTGTGCAGACAAGGCACCCATGTTAAGGAGAAAATATGGACGGAAAATATTGTGACATATTTAATTAAATGTTTTGACTTAATATCTTCAGATTATAATACCTGGGCAGCATTTAGTCAAAATGATACTTAAGTTGTGCTTTTCAAAACCATTCAGTATTGACATAGTTCCACTCCCAAGTAAAATCAGTAGGAGTTTTACTGCTGACTTCCACAGAATATAAGCCAATGCCGAGCATTTCTGAAAATAGCATTCCATCTGTATATTTATTTAAATGAATAGGGACTGGTAGTAGAAATAGGAACTGAAAAGATCAGGCTTTTAATTTAAAAAAAAATGAAGTTAAATATAGGTTACTCCACTAGAAAACTAAAACTCAAGAATACCTAGACAAAGTTGAACACTTTGTGCTCTCATTTATGCTACAAAGGGATGGAGAACAGCTCCATTGCCCCAGGTGACACAGCCACACAATTTCTGAGGTCATTAGACACCATTGACATAGACACTCTTTAGTAATGGCATTTCATGCTTTCAGTGGGCAGATAAAGACACTAAGAGAACTGCCTCTATGTTAGTCTTGGGTAGTTAACCCCCCTAAAAAATTATTTCATCGGCCAAGGTAGTTAAACCCACCCTTTTCTACATTCAGGTAGATTTCTACCTCCCCCTTCCCCAAAGCCCCAAAGCAGCCCTTTTCTTTTGCTGCTAGATGCTGTTGCTTTCTTTAAACGAATAGCCATGACAGATGTCTGTTGGCTCTGAGCCAGCAGAACATTTACCATAGTCAATATTTAACATACAAATAGCCCTACTGACTTCAGTGAGGCTGCTGGTGTGCCTGAAGTTAAACAGCTATACAAGCACTTTGCTGGCTCGTGGCCTGACTATTACAGGGGCTAGCAGGATGTGGTAATGCCACATTCAGTGTTTTAGGTCCTATGAGATTTGGTCAGGTTAGATCTTTCCACCCTCGTTGTGCTTTGAGCAGGTTTTACTGGTTGCAAGGTCATCTGGGGTTCTTACGCCCTTGTGTGCCACTGTAGACGACAGAACCAAGTGGGCCAGAGGCACTTGGGCAGCAGCCTCGCTCGTTGCAAGTTCAGCTCTTACAGCCTTGAAGGTTCGGTTCTGAATAGCCGTGTGGGAAGGGAAGGACTACATCTTCCACACTGCTCTCAGGAGGTAGCGGGAAGAAGCTGCATCTAGAGGAGATGATTCCTTAGCTACCTCTTGACTAAGGAATAGGAGGGGTTGCTGCAGGCCTACAACCAACACTTCACTCATTTGCTCTCAAATTCTGATTAGGCGAAGCTATATGTAGAATAAAGACTCCAAGTCAACACAACGGTGGCCCCAGCAAATCTTCTCAGTAACACCTAAAAATCAAAAGTACAGCTGCAGTATTCTGATTTGCAATCTGTGAGCTTAAAATATAACAGGCAATAGAGGAAACATCAGCTTTTCCATTTATTTTTTTCATCCTTTATACTTCACAGAGTCACAACTTAATGTTTAAGTAGGGGCTTTTTTTTTTTGCCTTTTTTTTTCCCCCTAATGAGAATTGCAAGTCGAAGTTCATCTTTCACAAATAAGACAGAAGCCCAGAGACAAAGAGTCTGTCCTTAACTTTTCATTGAATCTCAGTGGTAGAATAAAGAAGCTAAAGCTACTCTGTAATGTTTAATGCATGCGAGGTCAAGCTAAGTCCCTATTCTATCCTAACTAGGATGGCAATTGTTATTGCCAATTACTTTTGCAGGTATTTTGTTACTTGTTGCAGCTCAACTACTTAGAAAATTCATATGCTTCAACCTACTTAGAAAATTCACATGTTCTCTGTTTGCATTTGGAATACAAATTCCTGTTCTAATATTGATAAGACATTTTATGATTCAGATTTACATCAATAGAATTGAAACACGCCCTTTATTGATTTGGTGACACAGGTGGCACCTCCAATGGTACTTTTTTTTTTTTTAATATATATATATATGTCTTTTAAAGAGATCAGAAAGTCAAGAAAAGTGGAAATAGTACTGAAGATAAGCTTATCTTCTTACAGTGCTCAGAGCTTGATGATCACACATTTTGAGCATACTGTCTTTTTGTTTTGTTTTGTTTTTGAAAATTCCATGAATCTCACAGCAGAATCAGGGTCTACAGAACTGAATTACTTTTGCCTTTTTCTTTTTTTTTTTTCAGATGCTATAGAACCAGCTTTTAAGTTAGTGCCAGTAATTGACCGAAGTACAGAAAGCCTCATGTCTAATGCTTCACTTGGAATAATCTTGCCCTGTGATCAGTCTAAAGTTGACTCAGTTCAAGCTGAAACTATCCTAGCCAAAGCTGTTAGATCTAGACCAGACAAACCTAATGAGAAGATGCAAAAGAAATTAGAAGTGCAAAATGTGAAAACTGATACAGGTTTTAGTCCCTTTGACTTTCCTCAGAATATTTTATCAAGCTCTAGCACTTGTCCCTCAAACCAACTTATCTAAAACGTTACCCTAGCACTCCTTGGCTTTTAACTTGAATTCTGCAGCTGACTGCCCTGCTGCATCCTCAGGAGCATTCTGCTGTGAGAGTACCCCTGTGTTTAGGCAGGAGACAGAGCTGATGGGGGCTGCTCTGAATTTGTTAATGGAGACTCCTCAGACACTCATAGGACTTTATCCAAGTGATAGGAGAACTTCTTTGACCTGCCTTCATTACTATATAGCAAACAGCAACACATTCACACATACATGCACATGAATAACTCATAAAAAACTCCACCATGCTCAAAGAGTTCACTACCTGCAGAGAGAAGAATTGTGTTTTGAGTTTGTCATTAATCCTGAGGAAGACGGTAGGTGGGTCTAAAAAAGTGGAAGAAGGCATTATTCACTAAAAATATGTTAATTTCCTCTCATCTGCCTCACTGGAATCACTACAAGTGGACATGTTCACTGACTTTTGTTGACTAGGTAGCAGTGTTATGCAAACTTCTTATCACAGATCAAATTGTTTATCTATGTATGTAATTTCTGGCCAGATCATGGAATATTTTTCAGTCATTTGCTGTGTGCACTCTCCTAATGTCTCCTATAATGTGCAGTAAGTTATGAGCAGAGCTGGAAACTTCTCCATAGCTAGAGCTACAGCACAATCTGTTATTGTTTTGGGATATGATTTAATAGAAGTTCTGCTCCTCTAGTCTCATGCACACATCTGCCAAAATGCTCAATTTAAGTAAATTGTGTTAGGAATGAAGTCATACTATCATACAATATAGTAATGGAAGGCAGCTGATTACATTTTGTACTATAAAGAGCTTGGTCTCATCTTAGCATAAGATTCACTGCCTTTTTTTTTTTAAAAAAAATAAAAATAAAAAGACTGTGTGAAGTATTGACAATGTCAAGGAAGAAAACATATCTCTTTAGGCTCCAATCTGCATAAATCTTAATATTCAAAAAGAAAAGAGCTTATCAGCCTGATCAGACCCTCCCTTTCTCAAAACAGCAAATTTGAAGACAACCTTGTACACCAGTATCATCAAAAAAACAAAACAAAAACATACCAACATCCCAAACCAAAAAAATTTCCACTACCAAAAGACATCCAACCACATGGAGAGAGTTAAAATTAAAGGAAGTTAACGTTGGCATGAGCTAGTATCAAAACAGTAAACATCATATAAAGATATGATAGATTCATGCCAATAAATTGATGGTGACGCAAGAGTTTTATGAGTCTTGGCAGTCCTATCGGCCCAGATATTTTTGCAGGCATAACAAACTGGAGGTATCATCTCCTACTGCTACTGTGATATTATATTTTAAACTATTTAGACTTTTCTTTAAGACAGACAGTTCACACTGAAGCAAGTTCTGCATTGAGCTAAATAAAAGAATTGAACAGAAAGAACAAAAACAAGCCCCAAATAATATATATTTCTCAAAAATAATGAATATTTTAAAACCCTTGCTTTGAATGGTGCTCCTGCTTTTCAGTTATTTCCTCCTACAGTTAGTTGGATCTAACTCTGTAAATCATATTTTGCTGTGATTCTAAAAGCTACGTATATAAAAATAAATCAGAATGGACAAGCATGGTTGATGAAAAGAGCAAGGTTTTGTCAATAAAAGTGAAAATGCCATTTAAAGTGGTATGGAGTACCTTTATTTTGGCACTTTTTTGACACTTTTGGCATTTGTATTGGCATCCAAAGATTTGTGGAGATGTTTCTGACTGCTTGCCAAGACACTGGAGAGCAAACCCAATCATTTTTGTGAGGAGGAGGAGTGCCAAATAGGAAATGAACTAGTCAAACAAAAGAATGTCATATCAAAGTTTTGATTCAGGAAAGCTTTTAGAAGTGCACAACTCCAAGCACTTGAGTAAATCCATCTGCTTACAACTATCCGTGAACAACAAAACAATGAGCTTTGCTGGACTCAGTAAGACTGCTTGATTGTTGGAGAAGAGGTAGTTAAATACCCTCAGGGAGGGCATTTAATCATTTCCCCTGCCCTCCCTTAGCTTTTAAAAGTACAACTGTTTTACTAAAAGTCTCCCTGAGCTCCTATAGCTGGATCTTTATCTATTTGGCAACTCCTTATTTGAAGTAGCACTATCTGTACCATAAAACTTTGCCATGCTTGGGTGTTGAAGTGAAGACTGATCTTTTATGGCATGCTAAAAATGGGCATATTTCATCGTTCTTGTCATTACATGATACATGCTTCTACAGAATGTAAATATTTTATAGGTTGTTCCAGTACCAGAATGGTACACATAATGAATGGCTAACTCCAAAGTACATCGGAAGTCCTATATTCAGAGTGAGAATCTCTGGATTTCAATCTTTCTTTCTCTCTCTCTTGCTCCAAAGCTACAAGGGATGGTAGTAGACTTGTGGAGTCAATCTGAGGCATGTACGTGGTAGGGATATATTTTACTCTGTCAGGTTCTGACATGCATTCTTTTTGAAGGTGATTATTGATTTTCTGCCTCTGCAAGAAGGAATGACTCAAAAAAAAAAAAGAAAAAAAAAGAAAAAAAAAGCCTAGTATTAATCATGGCTTAAGGAAAAGAAGAAAACCCAACCTTTCTCTTTTTAAAAATGTATATATATAAAAATAGGAATGGGTGGAAATAATAACAGTAGTACTATTTTACAGGAAGAAGTGTTGCTCTGAAATAAGACTACCTTATATAAGACTGTAAGACTTAAATAGCTTGTAGAAAACCTGGAGATCTTTGGTTGTGACAAACCAAATCTGCTTATGATGTCATTTTCTTTATGTTGCTGCTAAGTTTCTGTGTTTAATGAGCCATTCCTCTGACATCAGAAAGAGATAATTGTCTTTTCTGTGGACTGTGCCTTTGGAAATGTAACACAATGACTAAATATGGAGTGATAAAACGTATTTTACTGCCTGTCCTAAGGATTTATAAATATGTTAGCTTTGCATCATTTTAAGATGAATTGCGTCTGTTCTTCACTGTGGGTCTTGTGCTCCAACCTCATCTCAGCTGCAACCGCAGCTGAAAATGAGTGTCAAAAACCGGACAAGATGGCAAGGATTTGATGCTGTGAATCTGTATCTACTATAATTATAGTAGGTTATCTTGGTAAGACACTTCCATCTAAAAAAGTAACAACAACAACAGAAGAAGATGTATAGGGGAAAAAACTCCAAGTGAATGAAAAAAACACGTATTTTCTTTTTCCCTGTAAGCATCAAGGACAATATGGTTCGACAATATGATGGGAAGTTTGTTTTTTCTTAGCATACAGTTTAGATACCTACTACCCAAGAAAGACAGAATGGAGCAGGTAGAATAGTGAAATCACAAGGAAGCTGAAAAATTAAAATGGAGCATGGAGTGTAGATGTGGGAAAGGTACATAAGGGAGGCAGAGTAGGTGGAATCAAGAAATGACTAGGAAATAAAGAAGTAGAAACATCAGGAGTAAAAAGTGGAAGGGCAAAGACAAAGAAAATGGTGGGGTAGAGAAACATGGGTTGTATGGAAAATGAAATGCCCTCTTACTCCTTGAGGCTTTTCTTTAAGGTCAGGATAGAAGAATCCCAGCAGGAAACTGATGAGACTTGTGCCTTTTTGGATTTCATTGAAAAGTTCCCATGCTAGCTTGTCAACATTTTTAAACACTAAATTTACTTTTAAATACTTCCTTGCCCCTTAGTCCCAAAGAAAATGTCAGCTGAAAGGAAAAATTGTCTCATCCCAAACTGCTGGTAGTCAGGAAATATAAAAGCGACAGGGATGACTCATATCACGTACGTCAGGCACAGTGAAAACAGAAGATACAAATGGCAAAATAGGAAGATGAATGTCATGGGGTCTATTTGAAGTGTTTTAAATCT